GTTCTCTTATCATCAATTTCAATCTTATTGTTAACCTATCTAGCTTCATCCACAAATCCCTATTTATGCTTTTTTGACAATAACCCAACTCCACCATCTAGAAGGTTTATGTTTAAAGGATGGACAAAAATGGATATATTCATGATATAGGTTATATTTCATATATACAACTTAGAAATACTAAATGCATGCATGTCTCCCTCTATTGATGGAAGGCCTAGAGTTGTACGATATTATGATATTTTTAGTTGTCTATGATCTCATCATTTTATTTCACTCTTTTTCTCTGTCTTGTCTCTTTTATTATTTTAGAATTATATGATAAAAAGATTAACATTTTATTATAGTAAATTTTATTTTAAAAATGTATTTTCTCAATATTAATACTAGTTATTAGCAGTTTTTTATCACTGTATATACACTTATAAAAATATTATGTGACTTTTTTTGGCTGTTGAAAAATTTTATTTTTAATAACAATTTTTTTACCCGTTGTGATGTATGCATTAAGATTATATTTTTGCCAACTTTACTTTTCATAATGAATTTTATAATTTGTTATAAAAATATATTTTTTTCTATATAAAATATATTTTTAAAAGAAAAAATTAATTTATTATAAAATATTAAAATAAAAATAAAAATCTTAATAAGAGGTAGATATTATAGAGGAAAGTTTATTTTCATCACAAAAATTCATTGTGAAAGGTCTTTTCTTTTTGTACTAAGTGTTGACTTAATCATAATTACGTCCAAGAAAATTGAATTGTGAATGCCATAACTTTTTCTTTTTCTTTTATCTTTACTTTTAGCAAATCTTTCAAGTTCATATTGTTTGGCCATTGAGAAAAAGTAAGAGAAAAAGGGAGTAAAAAAAGGAAAGTTAGGACCCAAATGGAATTTAAAAAGGAAAATGGAAAATCAGTAGACATCGTTTCCTTTCTGAAATAGGCAACTTGGCGGCCGCTGCATGAAATTGACACTAAATTACACACATAACACAAACATTTTTGTGAGCCAAATAACATCAATCGCCCAATCTCAATCTCATTACCACACACACACACACACACAAGCAGCTCAGATAAAATTTAAAATGAAAAACTTGCAGCAATTATATTAGTTTAATAAACATAAAAGAATCTTCTCTGAGTCTTAATTTTTTTTATTTATATTTTTAGTTCTTAAAAAACTAATTGTATGGAATTTTTAAAGATTCGAAAAGATGATTTGAAAAGAAAAATAGTGGAGAGGAGATGCCTTAGGACCATGCATGAATGCGAATGCTGGATTATTATCTGCATTTTCAAAATTAAAATATTTGTTTCGTCCCCATTTTCTTTCTATTGTATATGAAATACTCGTGGTCATAGTTCTTCAATTATCCAAACGAAATCTTCTGTGGATGTTGCCAACAATTCCTTTTAAGTTTAACCATCCAGTTTGGAATTATAATATTCAAGTCACTTGCATGTTAATCTGGACTTGAGCTATATGCATATGAATGAAAACTATTAAGTATAAAGAGCATGATGCGAGGCAGCCTATATATACAGGCCTTGCAGTCTTTAATAAGAGTGAAATGGGGGGGGCCTTCTGGTTTCAAATTAATGGGCTCAGCCAAAGGTTCATGCAGCTCTTGGAAGCCCAAGATATCAATTAAATAACAAAAACCAATTGTGTTAAGCTATGAGTTACCCATAAGTATTTGACCAAATGATCAAAGGGTAAATAAATAAATCAACAACAATGGTAAATAGTAAGTAAAGAAATAAAAGAGAAAAGTATGAACAACTTTTTGGGTTCTTCCACCATGTGATGTACATAGAAAAAGGAAAATAAAAATGAAAGTAAAGATTTGATAAAGTAAAAGAAAATGTAATAGAATCTTGGTGAGGCCTGCCTGCCTACCTTCATTCTTGCGCACACTTTTTTTATATATATTTTGAAGGGAGGAATAACTTTTCTTTTCAAAGGAATAGGCTTTTTCGATGGCCTTGGACTATGTTTTGGTCTTTCTTGATTATAATTTTTCTTAATATAAAAAATAGAGAAAGAAATGAAAAGATAATAATACATGAAATATGGTATGTTATATACTTTACACATTTGAATACATTGGGAAACTTTGTTTATTGATTTTTCTGTGGTATATGCCTATATGGACAAATGAACTTGTAACTACAAAATACTATTACACAATTGTATATCACATATTTGTGGAACATGCTTGACACCCAAGTAAAACACACTTTTAACCTTGAATATATTTATTTTTTTTACCGTGCTTCCCTCATGTCTTAAGCATTAAAGGTCATTCTAGCTTTTCTACTTTCTTTTAATGGTCTAACTTCATCCATTTTCTATTCAAGGTTCTTCTAATTTTCACTTGTTTTGGGCCTTCTTCATTTCTTGGCCCTATTGTCTCTAATTCTTTATATTTGAACCTCTTACTCTTATTTTTTCAAATTTTTTTGATGTTTTGAATTTCAAATTCTAATTGTCTTCTGATTTTATATAAACATTGATTCTAGGCCTGATATTTCTTTTGGTCTTCTTGAGTGATTCTCAAGCTTAGTTATACTATTAGTATTTTTTAATTTTAATAATTTATGTGTACTCAACTTGTTTTGGTCTTAATTACATGATGTAGTTTCCAAACTTTATGTATATTACTTATAAAATTTTATTTTCTTTCAGGTATGACACACAAGTAGAAAGAACTTGTAGTTTAGCAGAAACCACTAAGGGATTGGTGGAAGGTAAATACTGATAATGTTTATTGTGCTGCTATCAATTTCACTTGCTACGACGGACTTATTAGGGATGAGGATGGTACTTACCTGAGAAGCTTCAGCAGAAAGATTGACAGATGTTCTGTTCTTCAGACCGAGGTTTGGAGTACTTTCAATGACCTTTGACTAATTTGAAATGCTGAATTTTGTAATATTATTCTGAAAATATATAACACTCTAATGGTGTAGTTACTTACTAAAGAGAATTATGATACTAATATGCATGCTGCATTCGTTCGTGAGATCAACCACTTGCTATTGCAGGATTGACAGGTTCAGATTCAACATGTGTATCGCAAAAGAAATAAATAGGCTGACTGATTGACAAATGCTAGTTTCTCTCTACTGATAAGTCTTCACTCTCATGTTTAAGTGCCGAATGATCTCTAACAGTTTCTCACTGACAATATCATAAGTGTTTTTTGGCTATGAATGTGCATGACGATTTCTTAATTTTTTTTAATTTTTGCTTCTCCTTATACCAAAAAAAAAAATATTATTATAATAAACAAGAAAACTAAAATCCAAAAGTTATCCTTTTTATATATATGTAGAAAAATCTTATACATATCAAACAATTAGTTATTTCTAAAATTTTTTAATAGTTTATTCTTTAGGAAAAAAAATTATGTAGAAAACTCCAATAAATTTTGTTGGATAAATCAAATGCTGAAATCATGTAATAGAGTAAGTGATTCTATATTTTTTTCTTTTAAGTGTGGACGAAATTAAAATATAATTATCTTAGTGCTTATTTTCAAATAATTAAGATTTACATTTAAAAATGTAAAATTATTTATGTTGGATCCCAAGCAGTTCATATTTAGAATTAATAAATCATTAATATATTTAATTTTAAGATCGTGTAAACATATTTTTTCTCTGTAAGTTAGAAGTTGAATTTTTAAACATCTAGGAATGTGATTATCTTAAAAATAGATTAAAAAAATATCTAAAATAGATGAGTATGTGAATCTAAATCTTGGACAGATGCATCCCTACTTGTATTCATGATCTTGTTTATGATGTTGAACTCTAAACCACCACCTGCAGAATTAGGGTTTTCTTTTAACACCCAGAAGGCAATATATTTGAATAGCTTTTCATATATATATATATATATATCATATTCAATCTTAGATATTTCTATTCTGTCGGCGTATAGTTTTTTTTTTTTTTTTTGGGAGAGATCCCTACACATTATTTTAGAGAACCCATTAATGTTTTATAATACAGAAACTGAAGCATTGCTTCAATCGGCAACATTAATTAATGGCTGCCGTACCAGGGAAGAATTAATATATACATATCTATTATATATTATATTTGAAAAGACTTTCTTTTGGGTCCGTGTTTTCTCTAGTACATGCGCATGGTATAATAATGGATATTTCTAGCAGAAATGTAAGTGTAAGTACTGACCATTAGCTATTTAAAGTACATGAAATGGAATTCAATGCCTTTATTTTCATTAAATGAAAATGTATCATATACATTAATGGTGGAATATTATTTGGAAAGAGAGAATTTTTTACTGATTAATATGTTCCAAGTGAAACTTTGTGAGTGGGTTAGTAGATGTAATAATGAAAGGAGTATTATACAAGATGAAAGGCACTTTGTATAGGAAATCTATGTTGCACTTAATAATATATGTGTGTGTGTATGCAGAAGTATATAGTATTAAGCTGGGATGGCCATGTTCAAAAAAGAAATAAAGAAAGCTGGGGGGTGGCCATGATTCTGATGATCCAGAGATTGTATAAAGATGAGATTTAGAATAGGAAATTAAAAGTACTGAGGATCTTATTTGTCTAAATGAGTTATTCTACACGTGCTCCAGCAATTCCCAGATTATTATTATTATTATTATTATGATGAAATTTTTATATAGTTAATTCTGTTTATTTAACTTTTAATTC